TATCAAAATCATCTGTGAAAGGAATGAATGCACCATCTGCCCTGACAAATGTCTCTGCACGAGTAATCAATTCCACATTTAGAAATCTTACCAATGCTATAAGAAAAATAATAACTCTAACAAATTAAGAACCTTCAGGAGCAGAGCAGGTAACATGCAAGTGCGCAAAGAATAACTTTTCATCTATCTAAAAACATAGAAAGAAACAAAAATGAAGATTTCTAGCATGGGTTGCACTTGCAGATCAAAGGCGCGCTTAAGCCCCAAAGCGAGGCTCAAAATGTGTTGAGCGCTTCGCCTCGCTTTATATGCGCTTCAGTATCGTCGTCAAGGTTCTAAGACAAACTTTCTTGACAATGAACCTCTTATGAAGAATTGACACGAAACAATTGATAATTCACTTCATAACTAAAAAAATTTCAATTCATTGGTCATATATTTGTCATAATGTTTATAATTATTAGTTTTGGACTAAACATATATATTTGTTTTTTTTCTCCTTTTGCGCCTTTTTTAATTAAAGCCCAAGCTTTATTTGTGCTTTGAGCTTAAAGTCCCCACGGACCTTGGAGCTTTTTTGCGCTTTTCGCCTTTGATAACATTGATTTAATCCATGATATGTTGTGGTGGCAGGATGAAAATATAATCACACGGGACAAAAGAGACATTGTCTAACATATTCTTTTATAACAGGTGGTGTGCGGGCCAGCTTGCACACACCTCGACTAATCCCACAGGATACCTGCTACCTCCCATCAGCACAGGTATCAGTTAACTTTGTCCCCCATTAGCAAGACAACCTCATTTTTATCATTTGATTATATTTCATTTCATACAACACCTTATGGATCAATACAATGGAATCTGATTAGTGAGATCTCAAAGTTTTTACATAACCTTCTTCCATCCAAGAAATGATAGATATGAATTGATGATGGAGAAAGGATTAGTATCACAAGACATATTTACTAAAGCACAAGGCGAGACATCATAATCCACTATTCATTTAGCGAATTTCAATAATGATTTGTAGCATCAGAACATTCTTCCTTCCAACATAAATCAGTAAAGAAGGTAAGAAGAAACACTTAACCTGGATTTATGCCAGCAAATATGCCATACCAAAGGTCGTCTCTGATAAAAGATGTAGCTCTCTCCACTGAACCCAGATATACTCCAGGTCCTAATGTTGGAGGTAAAGGATGAAACATTTTTTGATTTGGGTAATCTAAGTCAACAGCAACATGCCGGTTTGTTAGGAAACCAACTTGTCGATTGCCTGACAGACTCCTCACAATAGCGCCCAAGGTTCCATATGTCTCCTGGCTTGCTACCTAGATGTTTCCAATAAAATGTGGTGAATTAACATGTACGATCAGAGTGATAACCTTAGGGAAGAAAGAAATGACAAGCCAAACAAGTAGTTTACATCTGATTTCTTCTGCAGACTCTTTAATTGTTTATCTTCCTAAGATGCAATTAAAAACGACTGGAGATCTCAACAAAGAAGCTCAACTAACTTGTTGACAAACAAAACCTTTCCCCGAGTCCCTTATAATGTATTTAACCTTTGCTGGAGATTTCAAAGGAACTCAACTGATTTGATGACTAACCAATTCACTCAGAAAGGATGTGAGTCTAACCAAACAATGGAGAAAGGTGTTAAAAAGTGTCTTTGTGCACATATAAAGTTTATGGGCTCTTAGACACATTACAGGAAATCATCATCCATTTCTTCCAACCTTTTCAAAATTAGTAGATGCCTTTTAGTACATAAGACTAACATAAGTTGTCCTTGCTGCATAGTTTCAGAAAAATATGGTAAGCATAAATCCAGTTCCGATACTGAATGATAAGCACTTCAGAAAAATACAAAATGTGCTCAGAAGCAAAGAAGCAGATGGCTCCAAGGATCTGCCACACCCAAATAGTTGTTTTAACTTTTATGCAAGATGCTTAGAGTCGATCTACTAACAAGACTCATGAAAATAGCAATACTTGCCATAAATTTGCCCAACCTACGTGATTTGAAAATTGATTGATACATTTTCTAGGACTCGACTTAGACTTCAACTCTCTTATGAACTCATCAAAACTCAATCAAAGCATCTTTAGAGTGAAAAGTTGTGATAAACATCAAACTACCTGAGATCCTGAACCAATATATGGGTCACTACCCCGCAGGTCATCGACTATCTCTGTGTACAACTGCTCCTTGGGTGTTGGCTCTGGTGCACCAAAATAGGAGAACTCGACCACATCCACTTCACACCACACACCTCCAGGGCCCTGATGATAAGTAACATATTTAAGCATAGAGAAAACTAAGGAATAAATGATGCAAGAATAACATTTGTTAGCAAGTGTTGATTCTTTGGGCTCTAATAATAGTTAAACTCACACAATTGAACAATCCCTATCAGGAAAAGTGACGGGGAGGAATACAGCAAGAGAAGATAAAAGAAAATCAATGAAGTAAATTTCATCCTCTTTTGTTTTTATAAGGAAGTAAAGTCTCGTCATCTTTTTTTGTCCTAATTCAGGAAAATCTTTCACGAGAGGGTGACAGAAATAGGATAAGAGATAATTAGGCATCTTTTTGATCACCTCTAAAGCAGTAGGTAGACACTGGATTGGACTAAGCCATTGTTTGTGAACTTTCCGGGATACAAACACTAGTATTGCTGGTATATCAGTCAAAACACCACGTCGAATACGAAAACCAATTGCTGTACCGAGACTGTAGCAACGCAAGAGTTTGCTATGAGATGCCCTTATAGTCATGAGGTCAAGTAAGGTTGTTGCTCGCTGCCCCTCGGGCAATCGGCCAAGAGTTTCTGGCAAAACCCCTTTCTGAAGATTTCCGAAATAGTTTGCTCTCTCTTCAGCAGCATCATTTAGCCGACTAGGCCAGGAGAAGTATGCAGCATTACTCTCAGAGTGTTGTCCAGCCGATGCATAAGGTTGAAGTGTTGGTGGACTAAGTGAAGGAAGATTAGAATAACTGCAACAGTATTTTTCAAGATCTAAGGCTGACTCCTCTGACGGTGTTGAACCTGAGCAATGGGTTCTTTTATTTAACCTTGCTCGATCCATATTTCTGCTCATAGTTGACAAACTTGTTATTCAAAGTCCAACAGGAAGAAAACCAAAAATTTACCCTAAAGTCTGACTTTCAAGGACAAGATCTTTGCTATCATAGAGGTATGCTCTAGTAATCTATGTCAAAACTGATAAAGGAAGAACAGTGTTCGAACCACAGAGAACGGCCAATGCAATAATTTAGCATAAATTCCAATTTGTTTCACATGTTTCTTTAATTAAAGCTGCAACGTTATTTAAAAGATTTAACAATATCCAGTAAACTCAGTCTCAAAAATGAAAATGGAAATCCATACAGCCAAAACGCACATATCCACTGAATATAATATTGTTAACATCACCAAAGGGAAGACTGTAGAAAAGATCCAAATGATAAAAAGAAACTGTAGCACTGCTGGCCTTGAGTAACTTTATTGTTCCAGTCCAATACAAGTCATGACAATATAGACTGTATAAAGTGAATGGTAAGCAATTTGAAAGCTATTTAGATCCATCAAATGTGTTATAGCACCAGATAAACATGGCAAGATTTTTTTTTCCTTTAGTTAGCCACAGCTTACAACAATATTATCCATCACATCATTTCTCTCAGCTACTTTAAAATCTGAAAGAATGAACTTCATAAGATGATAAAACTGCCTCAACAATCAACATGGCCCTAAGAAAACAGGTATCTTTCTCAACAGAAATAGATAATAAGTTCAACAACAACCATAATCAATCAACAATATGTCAATAACTATGCTTCAATCCCAAACTAGGTGAGGTCCAATATATCCTATTTCTCCAACAACGGAAATAAAAACAAAAAGTTCTCAGCCAAACATATATAACCAAGGAAAAGCAACAAAACCAGGAACAGGAAAAGTGAAAAGAAACACTTGAGAGGAAAAACGGATAATAAATACAGTAATATTGAAAAAGCACTTATTTTGATAACGATTGTGCACAGTACAAATTGAGGGAACAAAATTAATGGGGTCCTGGAAAATTCAAAAAAAAAACATGGGCGTGTGAAGATATCTCTGCATGAAGAAGAGAAAGTGAAAAAAGGAAGATCAATCGCAATAGTGATGGATTCTTCGAGAGGAAAAAAAAGATGAGTTTTTTTACCTCACACAAGCAGCCTAAACTCGATATGAAATTGGGAAAGGAAAACAAAAGGCTGCAAACATAGTCAAACCCACGCTACGCCATGAGAGGCCCCAGTGTTAAGAGTATTATATTTTTCTCTTCACTGCAGGTATTGGAGAGTGTGACAAATACTATGTTGTCCATCGGCAACTTTGGAGAAATGGCGCGGGGGGTGCATCATATGCGGGCCACTGAATAATTGGACGGGTCACCTTATAATCCTTTTATGGGCTCAATTTAAATCTCAGGTCTCATAAGAACATTTTTCTCACTTTTATTTTTGTTTAATTTCAAAGTAAAAATCGAACTCATTTATATAATTAGTAAAAGAATTAATTTATTTTTAACACACGCTCGTATAAGAATGTTATAGATGTTTAAGACCATAATATAAGTTTCCCTATTTAAGAAATCTTTACAAACGTTTAACTATTGCTTTGGAGTTTGGTGCATTAAAATAGACTTTGGTTTTGGTAAATCCTTCCCTTTAGATTACATATTAGCATGGCATAACATTCATTGATTCGCTCGAATTAAGACTTTTAATTAGGAGTAGAGGAATCCCGTCAATTCAACCACAATTCTTAGTGGTGTAAGTCTTTTCCTTAATTCGATATATACCACATTTCATAATTTGGATTCTCACCGTAAAAGCTCTCTAATAAGGGGAAGTGATTTGAATTCTCACGGCAAAAGGCTCATTTCTCGTTCTTGATATCTTTAGCTTCCATCCCTTACACCAATACCACAATCACAATTTACCAAACACAATGGATTTATAATTCTTACATTGGAATTTGGATATCAACAACTTGAATAAAGAATAATGAGAGCTGTAAACCAATGGGAAAATGCATATATACATAATAGAAATCTAAGATCCTTCTCATTTTTTTATGAGAATGTTATCACTCCTCAACACTTATTACGACTAATAAAATCATATTTTTGACTAGAGAAATGAAAACAAATAATAGAATAATAATGAAATTATTCACATTAAACAACATATAGATCAGCCAATTCCTCAAATGAATCAGAATTAAGGTTGATAGGATCAGCATTTTCAAGTAACCAGAGAAGATGATCAAAAAGCACAACTTCACACTTAACGGAAAGATGATCTTTTTCCCCATGCTTTTGCTTTGATTTCTCTATTAGAGCATTCAATAGTGGATGGCTCAAGTATTTTGATTTTATGACATATTTCCTTCTTGAGTTGCCAACAAGAATTGTCTCAAAATCTTCCATATTATCTTCCACATTCCAAAAATCTTCTCTTGCAGATTTTGACCTTAAACTACTATAAGATGAGCTTCTTCCTAGTTGCCTTGACAAAGTCTTACACTTCCTCAATAACAAATTCAGCTTCTTCATCTTCTCTTAATTTCTTCCTTCCTTCTTGGTTTCATTAATTAAAAAAAAACTTAAATATGATATAGAGAAGATGAATATTGCAGAGATGGAAAGATGAATATGGTTGGAAGGTCATTGTTTCATGGTTCTAATTGGAGACCTAAATTATTTCAAATGACAAAGACAAGCTATCTTTCAGATGGGGTCTCATGTGATCAAGATTTTATTCATTGTGTCTTTGGAAGAAAGATAAGTATGGCCTACTATAATTAAGGACCGGAGTTAGCTCTTTAACCAACTAGGAACTTGCCTATGCAATCTAGAATACTTATATGCCTGTTGGGATTAATTCTTTTATAGTGTACGACTTTCCCGGGCAGATAGCATAACTCAATAGCTTGAACCCTAAATTCATTAAATATTGACATCTTAAAATTCAATACTCATAGAGTTACTTTTATGGTTTTATTGACTACAAATGGGGTTTTTTCCCAAACCACCTTCCCATTTCCCCAGAGTTGTCAACTGTAATAGAGCTCTCGTATACCAACGAAGATGAGGTATTGTTTTAGTGGGCACCAACAGATCTTGGAATAGATTACATCCTATTTTTTTAACAATAAAAGTGCCCATGGATTGATAGAATTCACTCTTTGACTGGATATTAATATTGTTAGTGCTTTCATGCGTACATATCTCCAATATCTTTGTCGGTTCTATAAATCCATGTCGTTTTATTTTTTTAAGTGTGTCACTCACTACCTGCATTATTTCCAAGGAATACTACTAGATATTGTCTTCGACCTTTTGTCCTTTTTTTGGATCTCCATTTAAAATGCCAAAGCATTTGCTGATAAGGCAACCACTTGGACAGATCAACAAAACGCAATTGGTTCACTTGTACGACAATCCTACCCAACAAAAACAAATCTCGTCGATTAGGACAGAATTATTTCATAAGATAATACAATCATTATCGTGTTGTCTTAGTAGTTAGATAAACGAATGAGGGAACCAAACACGCCTACTATTTGTCTCATACATAATAAACCCAATAAACTAAAGATGAAGTTACATTCCACCTACAAAATGTCATTGCTATCTGATTATTGAACATTCAGTGACTAGATCATAAAAGAATAGGTACGCCTTACCTGCGCAGTGCTGGTAGAAGGGAAACAAAGACCCCTTTCATCTTAGCTTCCAAGCAAAACTACAACTGGCAATTTTTGTTTATTTCGTTAGGAAAGCAAGTTGACATAGTGCAAAAGAGCATATCAAATGGTGTGAATAATTGACCACAGCAAAAACTAGACATTCTAATTGAAAATAGTAATAGTAACTGTGAAAACAAAAGCAGGACGCCTTATACATTTATCCTTGTTTGGTCAAGCTTCCAAGATCTATTTATTTATGCTCTCACACAAATGAAATCAACAAGAAAAATGAGCAATGAGAAATTTATGCAGCTAAGCTTTCAAGCTATAGAATTATATGAATGCGGACTGTTTGGACAATTCAGAACTCATCAAACTGACAAAAGTTCTACTTTTGAATCTTCTTCTTTCCGTTTATTGCAAAAATCATATTGCAGAAGCCAACTAAGGCGTATTGGGGAGGGTGATAAGGAGTGAAAGAATTACAATAATATTACACAAAGTCGAATGACCTATGGACATTGAATGTTACATGACGAGCCAAAAATTGAGATTTGTAGCAGCTGAGTGAAAACCATAAATCTATCTCATCAGCACCAGTTGCAGTGCCTTAAAATTCACAAACCTGGCTAGCTCATAAATTATATGCTTCACCATTAAACCTCTTGTAGCAAAATCTGCTGTCTCAGAAATCTGAATGGTTCAAACAACCGTGAACACAACATAAAAATTCGTGAAATCTCCTTCACCAACTGTTTTTCAATTAGACATTGAACCGGAACAGCATTATATCCCCTTCTTGCACAACATAATCTTTTCCTTCTAACCTCAACTGCATACACAGATAAATCCTGTAACCAGCTTGATCTATTCTCTTGTTTGCACGGGTCAGTAGACTTAGTGCTCACATAGAAGCACCGTTTACATTCTACTACACAAGTAATTATCTTTGTGAAAGAAAACTACTTACTAGTAAAAGTTACATGAGATTAGCAACCTCATTACAATTTGGGGATAGGGGAGGCAATGAACATTTAATTTTGAAGTGCTGGAGCCAAAGTAAGAAGGTTATTGAGATGATAATGGTTCACTAAAAAATTTAAAAAGGTTCCAATTGACAATAATCAGGAAATGACACCAAAAACAACCATGGATTCTTTATTTGTGTTTGGCTAAGCTTTTTGCTTCGGGAAGGTATTTTAATGTAACCACTGCATGTGCTTACAAGCCAAAGATAGACTCTAAGGTTATTTTAAGGGTTTTTTTTTTAAAATAAACTTTTTTAACAGCTAAAATTGAAATATTTAGCTTATTTACCGTTACTTTAAATATTTATCTATTTTTGAAATTACACTGCAATCACGAGTCTTAAGTTTTAACTGATTCCTCGAGACATTTCAGGTAGCCAAGGAATATCTGAGGGTACCTTTGGCCCATGGGGGAATACCCTATTTAGGTTCAGATATATCTGAAATTGAAAAGAAAGCTAGTTTTCAAATTTCAATCATACACTTGGTCAGGTAGACTATCAATGGGTTATATACTGCTTTACAGTCTCAATCAAATACTACAAAGACATTTTACACAGTTCCCAACATCTGAGGTCAAAAATACAGAAGTAACAGTATCAAGAACCATAAATGATCAGAAAGTGCCAACTTACCAGTCCTTTCTCCCTTGCAGCTGCAAAAGAACCAGCAGAAACAAAGTCATCGTAAGCAACCTGCAAAGAAGTGAAGTCGACAAACCATTTAAAAACATTAAAAAAAGTTTTTTTATTAAAGGGTAAAGGGAAAGACCATTCAAAAACTTATAGTGAAAAAACACTCTGCTAATAACATACAAGACAATAAGAACACACCTAGATGACAAATCATTGAATATGTTTATTTCTAAGGCTCATTTCTCCTAAAAATAACGAAGGATAACTACTATAGTTCCATGTTAGCCATGGTTGAGTCTGTTCACACTTCACAACAAGATCATCCAGTCTTGGATGTGCATATGAGGCTGGATGGGGATGGTCAACTAAGCTGAAATGTTTCCAACATCCAGTTTGTGGCAAGTTAAGCTTTCTTCCATGAGCAAAATAACTCCAAGCACCCATAAGACAGTTCTATTAGTTCCACATAATCAGTGTGGTGAGTTTCTGGGCTACTTGAAATGAAAGACAAAATACAACCACACTATTAAGCATAAAAGGGGCAACATAATGGATCTAACCTTCAAATTTACAACCAAACAAACCAATCCTAAATCAACTGATCTAAGATCCATCCTATTAAGGATTAAAATATCCACTACTACTTGTCTGAATGAAGCTAACTGGATGCTGAGGATTCATGTGAGCAGCCTAGTTAGTTTGGATTCGCTCATATTTGTTGTTAGTTGAGCTAACATCCACCCTATCAAAAGCTACTATTTGAACATCTCTTAGTTATTATTTTATGCACAAACAAACCTAGCAGCACCAAAATAACATTTAAACAGAATATCTATGTCTGGTAAAACGGGTAAATGCAGACTCATGATTACAAGTTATAACCATGTAAGTAAATTTTACATTTCCAGCCGAAAAATAGACTCAATTCTTCATAGTCACTGATAATCACATATCACATAACAAAATAGTTTGATCAAACTCCACCATTTATGTGAAAACTTGCTTTGACATGCTCTATCCATCTAAGGTGACAAACCACTAATAAATCAATCACATCAATTTGTATTCATAAGTACAAAGTTTCACCACTGTCAGCATATCTTCATCATCTATGATCTAACCAATATGAAGCTCTAAGCTCTCAATCATTACCTTCACGATGTTTAGGATATATATGCATGCCTACTAAATTTTATCAGAAATATTGAGTATATGGTAGTCCTCTAAAACAAAAACAATGTACATGCTGAAATTCTTGGGAGTAACCAAAGCATAGTTTACTGTTTCTTGCCCTATTTTTACATGATACTCACCGTCTCTGCCCTGATGAAGCCCTTTTCAAAGTCGGAGTGAATAACCCCAGCTGCTTGAGGAGCAGTCATTCCTATATAATCATAATGGTTAGACAAACATTTTCAGGATAAAGGATGTGAAGGGATAGATACCACATGGTCAGTCAAGAGCCTATCAAATAGTGAAATCTGTACCCAGTCTTAGCAAAATACAAAAGAATTATCATTCTTTTCTAGAAGCTCAAGAGACTCAGTTATAGTTCCCTGTAAAGGAAATTTTTAGAGAACAGTTTTAGTCCCTCTTTTGCAAATTCCAAATTTAGTCTCTCTATTTTTTAAGCACATAAAACTTATTGTTATTCTTAAAATTGACCTAAACAACCATCCAGAATGTTTTTCTCGAGAAAATTGACCCACAACAAGGAAGAGTCCAGCATCAGAAAAAGAAAATGAAGTAGGGAGAAGAAGAACTTTCATGTGGAGGAGCTTGGAAGAGGAAAAAAGTGCTGCATATGGTTGTTTGCAGGAGCTGTCAAACGAGAGAAAAGGCAGCAGCCTGGAGAAGGAGAATAAGTGAGAAGGCTGCTGGTTGAATGAATGAGCCTTGTAGAGACAATGTGAGAGGAGGGATAGAAAACAACAAGCATGAGCATGAAGAATATGACTTTTTTGCGCTTTCCCTTTTCCCACCTTTTAAATGATTAAAAGTAAATATTTTAATCAGAGGAAAAGACACAGGTATTTAATAGGAAAAGCTAAGTTGCCATTTAAGTAAAGCTACTGAAGACAAGGAAACAAAATAGATTCCATTAACTTGTAGAAGTGCCATTAACAATAGAATTAAAAGAGCAAAAACAGGAAAAGTGGAGGTTTTATGTGCTTAGCCAGATAAAAAAGTACCAATATTGGAAAATACTATAAGAGGGACCAGAACTGCTTATTTTTCACTTTAAGAAAAGATTGAAATAGAGAAACCATAGTGCAAACCTGTGAGGATGGTCCATGCTTTGGTTTCCTGCAAGTTAACCAATGATAAACTCAATACTCATACACTACAGTACCCAAAGGCGAAAACTACGCCGACAGTCAAATATCACTAAAGCTCTTTTATTTGTTTCACCTTCTCGCCAGAAGTGAAGTATGTACGCAACCCTAGGAGACCATAAGTTTCTCTGATGAGATTTCCAAGGCCACTTTCATTGACACCAAGCGATTTCAAATATTCTATTCTTTCTTCTAAAGGAAGTTCAGATAGCTCAGACTCAACCTGCAATAGGAAGACCAGAAATATGTAGCAACTGGAAGCAACCCTCTGTTCCACAGAGATTTTTTATCGTGTAGAAAGCTAGATTCACTTTAGCACATCATAACTCCTAATCCCTAAAGGTGGAAAAAGTTAAAAATACATATGGCAAAGAAAACAAGTTGGTAAATAATAGCTCCTCTACCTAAAATGGTTACGAGATCTTGACAGGTCCCGGTTTCCATGAAGGTCAGCTCATGCTTTTCACCCCTTCTCTCATAGAAAGGCAATGTCACACATCCCGAATTTCCTTCTGGTATTTATTTTATCATAAGAGCTTCTAGACTCGTATCACCTTCTTTAACAAAGAGAGTTTCTAGACTTGTATCGAGGACCACAACTAGATATGACAATTAAAGTAATTTCCAATAGAGCATTAGGATAAAGATCTCCCCCTGAAATGAAATAAGCATGAATTTTGATTGATTCAAATACAAAAGGGAAAAGTGAAAGATGTCAACTGACCTGCGCTGAAATAGTTACCACACCAGAATTTAACTCAGCAGCTTTTTTAATTACTTCCTTCACATGAGGATTATTTTCAGGTTCAGCTACCTCTGATTCCGCTACATTTGCCACAAATATGACAGGCTTCATTGTTAGAAGACAAAGTTGTGTTATAGCATCCTTTTCAAACTCCGACAAAGATACTGATCGTGCTGGTTTTCCATCCAGTAGTGCTTGTTGTATTTTCTCCAAGGCAGACTTTTCTGCTTCCTCCTGAAACGATAATATTAAAATAGACATCCCCAACGACAACGTTTGTAATGTAACTACGAGGATGTCAATCATACAACAATCAACATTTTAAAACCTTGCAAGGATGAACTACTCACTTAATCTCCCAGAAACTAATAGATAAGGTTACCTTTACTTTAGCTTGTGAATCTTTAGCTCTACCTTTTTTGAGTTTCTCCATTCTTTTCTCAATCTGCATTCTTGTAAACTTAGTGTCATTAGTTGGTTCGCATACCTAGAAACTTTACAAGGAGAAGAAAGACTACAAAATTACTGTTGAAAAAAAAAGAAAAAATATATCATCCACATCCCTTGTCTTGTGTGCATTTTTCTGACACCATCATGAGACTGTCATGCATGCTTCATAGGTACGTAAAAAGCTATTATTCATATACACCTCTCGTGCAATACTAGCATCATCACATGCATTCGAATCTGTATTTAGTCCATTTTAATAAAAAGCATCTTATGTCCTCTTTTTTCTCCATTTATCTGCATACATCTCCATGAGCTATACCCCTAGTTTATGTTAGCATCCTGTAAATGTAAAGCAGAACTGTAACAAGTACCTGATCCAAATCTGAGAAAATTAATTCCAAGTTGATTACATCAATATCAGCTTTTGGCTCAACCTTCCCATTCACATGAACAATGTCATTGTCCTCAAAACAACGTACTACCTAAAATAGTACACAAAAGCACTTTCAGCAAGCAACAACAGAAAATGTATGACAGAAAATTTTTTAAATCAGTAAGGAACTCAAAGCAAACTGATGGGGCACTCTTCCTTCTCTTTAGTCTTTACATGCTCATAAGCTAGGATGCAATATAACAGCAAAATAAAGCCTTACAACTCAAAAGAGAAAAAAAAGGCCTTGGAATGATTATTTTCATATTTGAAATGCAATTGAAGTATTAAATCGAGTAATTTCCCTAGATAGTCACCCATGTTAGAGAAATTATCTAGGAATATCACTTGTGTTTGTTTTAGGACTACAATATCACCCAACTTTGACACAAAAAAATACATTATTTCTCTCTTAGTGGGATGCCATGTCATATTTTCTAACTTGTTATTAATATTTTTCTAATTCTTTTAAATAATCGGAGGAACCCACATATTTTCTTGAAGAACCGGAGGAGCTCATATTACAGTTCTTAATGTAATTTTTTTACTGGGTATAATATGTGGGTTTGCCTATTTTTTAAAAAAAAAATCTATCTAATATATATTAGGAGAAGTAAAAAGTGTCACATGTCAGCACCACAATTATTCAAGAATTTTAATTTTTCAAAAAACATTTCAAAATATGCTCTAAAAATAAAATTAAAAAAAACAGGAATTTTAATATAGCTATTTTAAATAGAAAATAAGAGTTTTTTTGTTAAAAAAAATTGTAACGGCAAAAAATGGATGATTTTTAAATGCCTCTAATTTCAATTTTAAGGGGGAAAATGAAATTGAACTATCTTTTTTTATAAAAACAGTAATGGCTATTACATGAAAAAAAATGAAAGATCTTTAAATGCTTCAAATTTCAATTTTTAAGGTTAAAAAATGAAAACTGAAAATTGAATAATTTTATAAAAAAAACTGTAATGTCTCTTTATACTTATCACACTTTCAGTGATTTTAGGGAATACTCCAACAAAATGGAATGTAAAAATATCTATCTAAATAGGAAAGGAAACCATAAAAAAACTATAATTATTATTTAAAAAATTAATGTAAAAACTTATATTAAAAAATTAAAAAACTTATTTTTAAAAAATAGTTAGAAATGAGTACTTTTTCTTCACAACTTACCAAAAAGGGATACATCAAGATCTATATTTTATGTAATATTTTTCTCTCGTTTTTATATCAGGATCAAATGACTATAGATTCATCATTACTTCCATGGAAGTGGGCTGGGAACTAACATGGACTTCAACGTAACACAAGATTACAGATAACAATGATAAAGGAACTAGAAAGTATATAAACCTGAAGTATGGAGTCCACTTCACGTATATGTGACAAGAACTTATTCCCCAGGCCCTGCCATAGAAAATATTTAACAAATTGTTGTATCTTCAATTTATAATGCCACTGATGCAATGATACAATAAGTGAAAACATGACTAATAATTGATATTAGGAAACTTTAGGTTATTGAGAATAAACCTCCCCTTGACTGGCTCCCTTTACAAGTCCAGCAATATCAACAAACTCTATCGAAGCCGGGACCGCTCGTTTGGATTTGCTTATATCAGAAAGAACATGGAGACGTGTATCAGGGACAGCGACTATCCCTACATTTGGCTCTATTGTGCAAAAAGGAAAATTAGCAGCCTGAGCCTTTCCATTCTCAACCTGCAAGAATATTGGCAATGGCTATAAGGGCATGTGACCAACAGCAAACATACAAGCAGAATAATCAAAGGAGTTATTTGACAGCAAACTACAACAATACAATGTCAAGTTTCCAGCATATGCTACCATTTTTTAGCCTTTTAGACTGGAATACATGGAGAATGGACCATAGTAACAGATTAATAGTACATATGTAGCTGACACCTGCTAGCAAACAAAAACTTCAAAACTGTTGAACACGTAACCCATTCTGTCAGTTAATGCTAGAGGGTTTCAAAGATACCTGAAGTTTAAGATACAGTGGTGATCTACATCGACAACCATAACAAGAAGAAGCACAACAATTACCATTTTTCTGGTTTACACTTGCACTGAACACACAAATTATTCAGTAATACGATTTTTTATGATTTCTTTTCCCCAACATGTAGAACTAATAACATCATTCATATAGATGTAGTATGCATAATATTGGATATTGGAGAAGCATCTAGGAATTACACAAAATCAACCTCCCAAGGAAATTATGGTTTGCCCCGGCATGTATTACTAGTAACACGTTCATCAACTCAAAACCTCAGTTACAGTCTCTTTAACTAGTGAATAACATCCTCCATACAGATATGCACTATGCATTTATCAAAGAGATGTACAACAATTCGGCTCTCGAAAAGCATCTAAAAAAATATGCAACATCAATTTTCCATTAGTTTCCTACGGGTTGTGCTTTTCCAGTTTAAGAGCTATCCAATTTTAAATTAACAGCATCTACCTTCAATTCCTTCTGACAGAAGGACCAGTAACTATACTTACACTCCAGTAAACATCTAACTCACTACACACTCATACTTGTAGTTAAATTATTAAGCTTCCACGTCCATTTTCTGAGCTTCAATTGCAAGACTATCGGCATTTCTACAAATATATGGGGTAAGCATTCAATTGCGTCTTTGCAGAAGAAAATATATTGTGAAAATAGACTTACGACGGCGTTGAACAGCGTGGACTTGCCGACATTAGGAAGGCCAACGATGCCAGCTCGCAAACTCATGCTTATCTTAGCGACGGAGAAGCGCCTTTTGATGAGTACCACAGGATGCGTAGATTCTGAGAGTCGTAACCACTGGTGAGAAGAACCATTGAGGAAAGAAGACTTGAGCGGAATTGCCATGGAAGGAAGAAGCTGAGAGCAAGCCATTCTCGCCATTTTACCACTAGCAAGTTGAAGTGCTTATTGAGTGGTACACACAGCGTTGCGGCTATCTATCGCCGTGCTACAACTACAAATATTTCTCGGGTTTAACTCAGCGACGACGCTACATGTAAATTAGAAAATTACCCAAATAATTGCACCAAAATTGTATTTGAGCCCAAAAATTTGGGAAAATGAAACAAAACTAGTCCATGCCATTGCATTATTTAAAATCCCTTTATTTAAATGATGAAGTATATATGACCTTTTTATTTAAGCAAAGGAAAATTAGAATTAATATCGAATGTAAACATGATTGTAAAATATGCTAGAGTTAAGCTAAATTAGTTAAATTAATTTGAGTTTCTTTGTTTAAAATAAAAATGATGCAAGTAAATAGAAGATGAGTCTATTCGAGGGAAGAAAATAGCCATATATGTATACCCTTGGTAAGAGTTGTATAAAAGTTGAGCTCAAAGACTTTTAATTGCTCTGTCTACGTTTTAAATTCTGTTCACACCGTTTTATTATTTTACCCTGAAACTTAGAGGAATTCAAAACCAAAATTGGAACTTGGAAGAAACAAAAAACATATACTTGGTTCATTGTCGACATAATTTGAAAGGCTGAAACTGCGTTCAACTTGCTTGTGCTAGATTATCATTATTTTTCAAATTATCTGTGATTTCAGTTCATATGTGTACGCATTTTTCATTCAGGAAAATCGTTGTTTACTAAGCTCTTTTTACGGGCCTTTGAAGTGCAATGACTAATTCATACAACATACACCAAAAAAGAGTGTCAAAGCACAAACACATCATACATTGAAATATCATTATCTAGCCAAGTTCTCCAGGCTCAAGTGAATGATTTTCACCGACTTAATTCCTTCTGCCACGATCATGGTCACGAGGTCGATCACGACGACGGTCATGATCACGGTAGCGATCACGGTCACGGTCACGAGCACGAGCATCATCACCCTCTGACCTTCGTTTTCCTCTATCTTGCTCTTCCCCTCTTCCTCTATTCTGTGAATTGTCTTTGTACCTAACTTCATCTGCATGACCACCATCATATTCCACCTCATCTCTCCGATCCCTCTTTTCTCTCTCCCCCCGATAATCCTTGTCCACATGCCTCACATTATCCGCAGGTCTCTTATCATGGTCTTGTCTCTCCCCCCCAGCCTTACGGTTATCATAATTAGTGTTTCTTCTATAATCCAGATCGTTCCGACCCCTGTAATCCCTTTCCTTCTCTCCACTTGCTCTCATCCCACTTCCACGATGCCTCTCTTCAGTTCTATAATCATTACTTCTATCCTCCAGCCTATGCCGTTCATATCCATCTCTTTTTCTATCCTTCCTGGCTCCATCATCTTCAAGTTCTCTACGTTTAGGATTCTGATTCTCGTAATGTTTTCCACCTTCAAATTCTCTTCCCCTCTTATTTCTTTTTGGACTTCCAGCAGCATCTTCATCAAATACCATCTCATACCTTGAATTAAATGTTCAGAAGAGTTTTAAAAAAGGAGGTTTTAGAGAGAAAAACAGGAGGAATGAGGCGTGGGCTGTTTGTTCCTGCTAACCTTGAGTTACCGTCTCCACCGTGCTGCTTGTTGTCTTCTTCTTTTAGAATGTAGTTCGACTGCTGTTTGGTGGCATCACCAGTGCAGTCTTTAGCCATGTGATCAAGAGAACCACATTTGAAGCAACCTCTTCCTGAAATAAATAAATACCATTGATCAGATCTAATTTGGCAGGGGCTGCAACAATGTTGCTTGCTACCATATGTTCTAAATGTGCAGATACACATAAAAGATGCTGGAACTACTTTAAAACAATAAAGTCGTTATACATAGTTCGCATGATATTTTACTTGAGATTGTGGGGAACATTTCGCTGGCAAGCTTACAGGGATATGCTGGAAAGGTAGCAGAGATGAGAACTTTTATGTGATTTTTTTTTTAATCAAGAACTTCTATGTGAAATCTTGTTATCAGTCTCTGACGAGGAATGCGGCTCGGGATGGTGCTACCATGGACAAATAATTTAGAAATCAAAGCTCCTATTAGAGTAGCTTCTATTAGATGGGTTGCAGCACATGCACTGTTTGACGCAAGAAAAATTACAAAGAAGAGGTTTTAACTTTTGTAGCTGGACCTAAACTTGCAAAAAGATGGTGAGACAGTCGATCGCCTGCTACCACACTGCTATTTCAAGTGGCATATTTGATGTATATTCAGATGTTCCATAGTCTTACGGAATTCAGTGGGCTATGTCAAGCCAATGTGAAGCAAGCCCTCTGTAGGTGGCAAAACCAGAGTTTGAAAAAGGAGGAGAAGAATGTCTGGAAAGTCTGGAAGATCTGGAAGACAATTCCATTGTGCATAATGTGGACTGTTTAGTCAGAAGAGAGAAATCGAAGATGCTTTGAAGGGAAGGAAGAGAATATTGTTTTAGTTAAAAGCACATGTATTCAGAGTTAGAATTATGGTGTAATGCTGACTTTGCTTTTGATGTTGATGTAATGCTGGAATTTTGGAATCCTCACAGCTATAAGAGGATTTCTACTCAGCATGTTTTTGTACTGTACGGTACAATCTTGGTACTGAGATCCGTTTAAAAGACTTACTTTTTACCTATCAAAAGAAGAACCAATCTATCACCCTATTTAGCAACCTCGAGGAAAAAGTTCCAATAGGATAACCTGTTAAGTTACATTTAAGAAACATAATCTGTCAATTGGTCACCCCAACTGAAACAGTAATTTTATCATACCAGAAAAATTAAACTGAAACAGTAATTAATTTTGGGGGATCAAATGACATAATAATGATTCATGACACTGAATAGAAGTATAAACAGTAAATATAAAATGAAATGTGATCCTAAAAAGATCAAATTCCAATAAGCTAACATCTGCACATATGAGCAAAGTATTTGATATCAAATACAAACCGTCATATAATCTGATGACATCATCTTGCATTCAGTTTAATAAGCTATAGCATTCAGTTTCTAATACAAATTAATTTCATTCAAAATTGATAGACGAACCACATTACAAGATGTGCACAGCTTACCTTTACCCGTTTGGTCTTTGCGTCGATATTGGGACCACAACTTTGCAACACTCTGGCTGAAATCAACATGTATCCTTCGATCATCAATTAAAGCATTATCCATCTATCAAAAATAGCAAAAGTGAGTCATCGAAAATCATAGCTTCCCCACCATATATGTTGCTACATTCTAATAAATACAAACAAACACACAACTTCAATATTCAGGTAACAAGTTAATAAAAATGGAAGACCAAAACAAGCTAGACAGAAATGCACAGCATTTGCAAGTGCTCCTGCCATTAATATTGGTTGCCCACTTTCTTTTTTGGTGCCTTCAAAAATAATGTCTACTTCCATAAAAGGAAAGTTCTACCACATATTTTATCACACCAATCATTGCAAAGATTCTACTTCAGACCACACCTCTTGTATCCATTGGAAACCAAAAAGTGGAATGATGTTTCCCTACGTTCCTCAACTAAAACTCTTACAATAAACATTTTAAGCCTGACCTGGGAAACATAAATGTTCAACAAGACATTCCATTTAAAACCCTTCATAAATTAATGGGCAGGTCATGGAAAAAAAACACAGCCAAGAACATGTATATCAGCACTACTTCTATAAAGCAACTGCCTTAATGCCACCAATAAGGATCTTTAAAATCAAGCTTTCCAGTTGGTGGTATTTCACACACATTATTTATTTATTTATTTATATTTTTAAAATCTAGTAGCAGACCCCACTTATGGGATCATATGTTGTAAAAAAACTAGCAGTATGGGTGCTGCATTATCAATATTGGCTTTCCTTACACTTAACATCAAGATAACACAGACTATCATAGGACAAGTGTTCATTAAATGATATACATTCTAACACCAGCATTCAAGTTATACATTCAATTTGGAACTCATAAATATGAACTTCTTAAGCCCTTTGATAAATAGACACAATTAATAAAATACATTCACACATTCGAATCAAGACGAATATTATTCCTCTTTACTACCTTAAAATATGCTTGTTCACAGGCCTCTTTGTCCTCAAACTCTGGCAAAATAAGAAGTCATAAATCAGTACGTGAGGAAAAATACATGAAAGAAAGCAATTACTTGCACAATGATTAATTGGGGCTAAACAAAGAGAGAACAAAAAAGAACATAGTTAAAAACTGTTCTCCCAGTTTAGTTGGTAATGGGACAGAGAAGTAGAAACCAAAAGTGAAGATATGAAAGAAACAATGTCTACTAGCTTTTCAATCTCTTAAAGAGGAAGTATGTCTTTTTTTTTTTGCCCCCGTTGTATTGTACATATACAAACCAAGGGGGATTAAGTCATTAAGGGGGGGGAACATGTGCAAGGTGTCCCTGATTCACATGAAGGGACCTGATAGGGGGAAGAAGGCCTTGTCTAAACACAAGGGTTTATAAACTTGGACTAAGGTTAATCAAAAGCCATCCATGTGCAGACTATAATCATTAAAAAAGAAAAGGGGGTTTGGCTAAGTTACTCCAACAGGGTCTGCTTTGGAGAAAAGCAGAGGCAAGGAAATTTGAAATTTATTATTTTATTGCATTTGATTTTGTAAAAGATATATTAACAGAATGAATATTGATTAGCAATCATATTACCACCTATGATTCTGTCCTTCATAGAGACTGAGGTTCTAATGAGAAGTTCTATAAAAGAAGCTTCTGCATAATTTCTAGATAAGATTTGAACTTTCAAGTGCTAAGTTATGTCCCTCTCTTGCCTTCTCTTCTAGTTTCTCCTCAAAGCCCGTGCAAAAGACTGATACTGCAACATTCTATCATTTTGGTTCCTTTCATATTCCTTCAATCCAAACAAGCCCTAAGATTAAGATGGGCTATTCCTAGTGAGGGTGGGAACAGAAGAGAATCACTGGGAAAGGTAATGCAGGTCGTAATATGATCTGTGGTGAAGCAAGCAAATATTTGAATAGGAGATACACCCTTGTGGTTAGAATCAGGGTGATGGCATTTACCACCTCAGATGATGATAATCAAGGATTCAAGGTGTTGCTCGTTAACAATAGATTGTTATTTCTGAAAAAATAGCAAGTACCAACAATATCAATTGGAGATCAAGGTATTATATTCAGCTACTAGTAGTATACAGCTAGATGAGGCAAATCAATCAAGATTTGAGGTAGCATACCAATCAGATCACTATTGAGAACTTCGCATTAGAAAATGTTGATGAAGAAGTACACATGTTGGAATTTTTTTCAGTAGTACATATAATACAGGTACGGATATCGATCAAACATATGTCCTCCTTGGTTCAGATAATTTAGAGAATGTTGCCCTAAATAGTGCAAAATTAAAAGGAGGTCTTCTGCAAGTGATTGACTGGTCAACAGCAGATACTCTCTTAAGAGGTTTTTGACACCCTAGATGAGCGCCAAAGGTACAGATATCATTATAGCACGCTTAGACTTGCTAGCAAGCATGGGGCAACTCACATCACATCCTTAAAGAGTCTAATTTTGAAGAAGAACATCACTGGGGTCTGGGGAAGAGGCAGCAATAAGATGCATATTAATATTTGTTAAGCTTTATTACCTCACAATTGCTTAACCGGAAACTTAAACTTACCAATGAAAGCATAGCAGAGGCTATCCCCAGTCTTGAAGTCCCTAATTATTTCAGCACTGAGGAGAACAAGTAATAAGAGATGAGAGAAATTTCAACGCATATTGACAGATAGGGAAGAATAAATAGCACGTAAAAACATTCAAATTATCAAGCAGTCAATGACTTACGATGTCACGGTACCAAAGCGTGAAAAGATTGTATACAGATCTTCATCCTGCATGAAAAAATATTGTCTGATAGTACCACAAAGAAAGATGGCATACTTGTTCTAATGTTGGAAGAATAAGACAAAAGCTTAGACAATAGTCCTAAAACAAACTTTTAAGCACAAGAATAAAGAAGAAACTCACTTCAGTAACTGGATTCAATTTACATACAAAAAGCACATTGTCAGGCGGCTTTATCTCAGCATCAGGAATATCCCCTACCTATGACACAAGTTAGTACAATTACAATTTAGTTGTTTGAATATTTTTGAATGATCAAATAGTTGAGAAAACTTCTTACACTTTCAAGTACTACTGCTCGCGAATGTGCTTCTTTTGCACGCAGAACCTCCTCAAGTTCTTGCATGCCTAGTTGCTCATCCATAGGCACCCAATCATCTTCTAGTCGTACATCATCTTCAACCTAAGTAGTTAAAAAGATGTAAGGGCGAGAAAAGGATAAATAGGTAATGCTTGAAAGTGGACAGTGAATATACTGGGGATATTTATCCTCTTTTATAAAAAATTACATTCACTTCCATTGCAAAGGAATATGGATATAAAGAAGAGCCTTAGGTCCCACCCTGAGATCACATCCAAGTGAGCAAGTCATGCAGTTTCATCGAAGATCAGGAAAGGAATCGCAAAACTGTTTTACACAACAACATACCCAGTGTAATCCTACAAAATAGGGTCTAGTGTTCTACACTATTTTAGGAACAAAAACTTCTCTATGCAACATGCTTTAGGAAAACAAATCTCTGAGTTTTTCTGTAATTACACATATCTGATGCGGAACTCTATCATTCTTTCAAATTAAAGCCCAAATACAAAATTCTTGACTAAATATGGAAGAAGAATTTTTTTGTCAGATAATGCAAAGCCTAATAATCTATCATAATCCTCTAGCAAAAAGACCAATCTAAAAACAAGAAATGTGGCTCTCAGGCTCTATATTTTGACATTTACATTATTAAAATTCTCCAGAAAAAACAAGCATTGCTGTAGACAAAATTCTTTGTCTAGAACTGAAAAGTGGAAAGATGCGAGTACTAGTTTATTCGACTATTTCTAGAATTTCACTGATATCCCTACTCAAGATACCCTAACTATCTTGGCCTACTAACTTTAAATGGACATCTTTAAATGTTATATTAAGCTAATAACTGGTTCACAGATTAAAAGGAAAAAAGAAGAGAGGAAACAGACAAAATACTTTGCAGTCTTTAGGTGGATAACCTACAGTCCAAAACTTAAAAGTTTGTCCATGTACCAATTAAGATCTGCAGAATGAAAGAATAAACTTCACGGAATACCATTGCATATCTTTACCAACATAATCTTAAAAAAACTGAGAAAGAATAATCTTAAATTTAACGCAGAGAAGGATGAACTAAAATATACTTGAGATGCATAGAAATTCGGGGAGGTGAACAAGTGGACCAGTAATTTCTACATTCTTTACCTCATCTTTTGGCTTTCCTTCAGGTGAAGCATCTGGAACCAATTCGCTTAGTTGGGGAGGATCATCAAAAGGGTCGTCCAATATGTAAGTGTGTTTGATTCTGAAGTGTGAACATTATCAATTAGAAGAGATCTACTAAATACTGAAAAAGAGAGCATAAAATATATCAACAACGAACCGGATATTTTTAAATGGCCTGCCCTTCCCGTCCACATAAGCTTCATTTATCCTATCCAACGTCTCCTGCCCTTCTGCCATCTCTCCAAAAACCTGACAGAACAAACTCATTGATCAAAATGTCAAGGATTTGGAGATCTTAACAACTTTAAGAGAACACACAGGAATTTTATAATCAGAGGCTTCATACCTTATAGCCTCATATTATTCACAAAGAAGTCATAATAAATAACAATGAAACAACATGAATGATGCAGAATATAAATCTGAAATTAAGCAAAACTATGTAGGAAAACCAAGACAATCAAGGAAATAAAATATAAAGATATTTCCTTGACTTTTTATTTGTGATGCTGCTATACAAGATAAAATTCTAGCATGTGCATATCATGCATCATCTTCAGACCTAAAGAACATATCAAATAAAAGGTTGCTAATACACTCTATTAGCTATAAGTCCTAGACAAGCACAAGCATAGATACAATAGTACTAATATCACTATAATGAGTGTGGTTATTTTCAGAATATCTACAAAAAAATCACAACCTTTTTTTGGAAACTACTTCACATAAAAATTTAACCCAGCATAGTGAAAAATCCACAAGAAGATAGGAGAAAATAGTATGCGAACAAGTAGGAGCAAGCAAAAATAGTTTAAAACTAAGATATGATTACTTGGCTAATCCTTGAAAGTTGAAACACTTCAGGAAAAGAAAAATTGAATATCACAAAATGTACGTCGGCAAGTATCGGAAATTATGTTGCCAAGTAGCTTTCTTGTTATCACTACTAATGAGTTTCACAAAAGTATTCCAGGATATGATTCTCCAGATAGAATCTGAGCAACATCAAAAAAACGAACCCCTCATAAAATGATTCCTTATTTGGCTATAATTTTCATATCATCTAATAAAGATTCCAATACTAAACTGGCTCCCTTAGAACTTTCAATGGAAGGTAAGATATTTTTGTGCTATTTCTGGAATAATACCTCCTACCTACTTAGATGACCTTAATGCCTGTGATTTGTGAAACCATCTTAATTTTTAGCTAAGAAAATATCATAGTGTAGTGCAACTGAGGTAAGCAAATAAGGAAACGATCATAGTGCCAAAAACATGGTTAAATGTTAATGCAGTTAATAGAGAAATTTATAGTGCATGGATCAACGAAATAAGTCAAATCTTGATGCCTTAATAGAACAAAGAGGACAAATAAAGTTTAGGATACAAATACTCACGGTGTGCTTCCCATCAAGGTAGTCGAGATCATCACGCAGTGTGATGTAGAACTGAAAAGCCAAAAAGAAGAATCACATAACTATATGATGTTGTATCACAAGCTATAAACTTGAAAGGGACCAAATGAAGACAAAAGCTACAAGAACTTCATTATAAAGGATTGTATTTAAAGCTAATGTGAGGGAAAATTACAAGACCTGAGAAGCATTTAGGTTCTCCCCAGCGCTAGCCATGGCGACAGTTCCCATCTTTGAATGCTTCAAGTCCAAATGAATCTCATCTCCAAAGAACCGAGCCTGGTCACCGTATAAAATTCTGAAAACGCATTGAGTGATGTGATCAGGCTAATATGAAATTTCAAAATTCTATTGCATCTTATAGCAAAAGACAATCCAAGACCCCTTTTACTAAAAGGTATAACAGATACTATAAGTGACCCAGGGGTAGACAACACATTCAGGCCATTACTTGGCAGATAAGCCATTGAACAGGGGAAATAGACATACGGCCAACTGAAAGAATCCTCCACCTCCAACTACGAGGTTGAGGCTTAAATCACCAATGAGTGAAACTGGATAAAGCCAATGTCGGCCCTCAGATGGGTAGTTGGGTTCACCATATCAAATGAAAGAAAAAAACACTTGAAAAAAAATAAAATTTAGCGCATCTATAAGTACTCCTTACTTGTAAACTGAATCGCCCCCAGATCCTGTTCCAGTGGGATCTCCGGTCTGCGCAGTGAAATCCTTCTGAATCGTGTGGAAAAGGCAGCCATTGTAATACTTAATCCTACATTATCGACAGGAGTGAGTTTTATATGTTTAAAACTCCTTGAACATATATGCATTTGTTTTACATATTGTTTTCACTTCTCATCATGAATGCGGTCAGATACAGGTGTGTTGCATAGAATATAATCGAACATACACAACTCATTCATAAAGGTAGTTATTGCCTTCTGGTGACAGCCGTATGAAACAGAATGAAAGACTTGCATAAGAAACAGTACCAACTTTGACACATCATTCAAACCTTGACAATTCGGATCTAATAAACCAACAAGACAATGATGTTGGATGCAATGATTTTTTTTATTTTTTCTTTAATTTATGTCCTGTCCGGGCGACCTCGACTAATTTCACGGATACCTGCCACCTACCACCAGCCAGCAGGTACTAGGAAGAATACCTCCTGTTCAATGAGTTTCTTTGATTTGCTTCTCTATGACCCAGGAATTATTTTTTTATGATTGTATTAATTCAAAAAAGGGCTGACAGCTAAATGCAAATCCTATATGGTTCAATTTATTAGTTTCAACGGATAAATGCATACACATACCTATCATCGTCGCAGTAGATTCATAGTTAGCATGTTAGAATTAGTATACAAATAGGTTTCTGATTGACGCTAATACAACACCAGATAAGCAACGAATTGAAAAAATTCAGCAAGTTTTTTTCCAATATTGTCGCTTAAATCCGCAACTAGACGAGTATAAACAGAAACAATAATATCCACAAAAGCAGGTTCAGCGTAAACACTTACTTGCACAGCTTCAAAAAATTCTTGCATGTCAATGGGCAGCGATCCGTAAACAAGTCAATAACTATTTCTCCCAAACTTGTGACTATCATCACTGACATTTTTCTCAGGAAGAAAGGAGATTGAAGACTGGGGAAGAGGGGTTTTGGGTTCAGCAGGCTCTGGGAATATTGAGGTAAAGAGAGCACCAAATCGAGAATTTAAAGTGAATTATTGAAAATTGAAATTATATTTAAATTATAATTATAAATACAAATTGAAATTATTTTTATTTTTAGAAAAAAGAAGTATAATATTTTTTTCACCATAAAAAATCATGATCAAATATTTTCTAAGTTGTTCCTTTTATTTGTTTATATATATATATATATATATATATATATTATTCGATATTAATTTATAAGTGGTATTGAAAAAAATATTTATAAACAAAGAGTATTTGAGAAGGGAAAGAAAGGCTTTTTTTAAAAAAAAAAAAAAAGACAACATTCACATATAGCAAATAAAAAATTCATATTTGTGTGTTGTAGCAAAATTTGCATAATTGCGCTTCATAACAAACATAGAAATTGTATAATTTGATATACATATACAGTTAAAGCAAATTGTATAAAATGAAGTGTATAAAACAAAAAAGAGAAATACACTTGGGCAGAGAATTGTATAAAGACAAAGTGTATAAAACGAATTGTATTATTATAAGTGTAGAGACCGATTATATACAATTTAAATTTGTATAAAATGAGAAAGACAAAAAGATAAAGGAGACTTGAGAAGGAATATATAATTGAATCGAATTGTATAAAAGGAGAAAGAGAGAAATTAGATACAATTTGAAAAATTGTATAAAACGAGAAAGAGATAGAGAGGAAATAAATTGTGCAGATGAGTATTTTTATTGTATAATTATAAGTGTATAGGATGAAAATATATGTACTTGCATGTGTATATACAGTTTTCTCACGCTTTATACAAACAGAAACGCAATTTATACACTTCGCTTTTGTTTGTATAAGTGAGAAAGGCGCGGTGGCGAGCGAAATTTGGGAGAGTGGCGAGCGACATCTGAAATAGGGAAGAGGGGGGAACAAAAATATATGTATTTATACAATTTTATATGTTTTATACAATTAGAAACAAAGTTTATACACTTGTGTTTGTATAAAAAGTGAGGAAGCGAGCGAGAGATTGGAGGAGAGTGGCGAGTGAGATATTTGGGAGAGAGGCGCCTGACAATTTTTCGCAAACGTTTGTTATGGAGCACAATTAAATCAAACCATAGCTACTCCATTTATTTTAGGTTATTAGTTTGCTATTATATACAGTTTTTCCCCAAAAAAGGCAACTTTCACATATAGCAAGCATAAAATTTATATTTGTATGCTATAACAAAGTTTACATAATTGTGCTCCACCACAAACTTATTTATGTATAATTCCATATACATATACAATTGAAGCGAATTATATAAAATGAGAAAGAGAGAGAAATTATACACAATTTGAATTGTATAAAACGAGAAAGCGAGAAAGGCAGAATTAAATTGTATAAAACGAGAAAGAGATAAATTATATACAATTTGAATTTGTATAAAACGAGAAAGAGAGAAAAGATAAAAAGAGACTTGTACAGGGAATATACAATTGAATCAAATTGTATAAAATGAGAAAGAGAAAAATTATATACAGTTTGAATTTGTATAAAACGAGAAAGACAAAAGATATTTGGTAGGGAAATATTTGTATTCTATAATTATAAGTTTATAGGATGAATATATATGTATTTGCGTCGTTTATACAATTTTTCTCTCGCTTTATACGATTATAAACATAATTTATACAATTCTATTGTATAAAGTGAGAGAGGCGAGCGACAGGAAGCGAACGAGAGAGGAAAAGTGGGGAGTGAGAATATGAGGGAGAGAGGGACTGACAAATAATTTGTTATGGAACACTAGTAAATCAAAGGGTAGCTATTATATTTATTTTATATTATTAGTTTGTCATTCTATACAATTAATCCTTTATTAACTAATGTAACATATTTATTAATTTTTAATAAATATAATTTTTATTAAAAAAGTGACTTGTATATATTTATAATTCGAAATTTAAATTAGGATAGACAATTAGCACAAATAAATTTGTCACATGTCTCCAGAGTTAATAACTTATTTTTATCTTCTAGTATAACAAGTTAAAGAACATGTAGAAGTCCTCTCTTCTTAAACACTATGTATATAATGTTGTAATTTTATCAAAAATTTATTTTGAAACGAAGAAAATAAGTAATTTTTAAAAATATCTAAGCAACTTTAGTTTGCTTGAAGTTCTATTAGAATTGATTTGTGTCAAGTATTTTAAGCTAATATAACTTTTAAATAATACTTATAATTAAAAATCAATTATTAATTCTTTTACAAAAATGCTTTATAAAAAATTTACCAACCAAATGTCAGCCTTTTCACTTTTCAGAACTTACAGGGGTCGCAAGCATAAGTAATGAAACTAGAAGTCTCTGAACGTAATTTATAGAAAAAGATTTTTAACAATATTTCCCCTCTTTTTTTTTTAAGAGGTTTAGGGTTTATAGAATATTGAAAGAAGAAGCAAACCTAACACTCATAAAACAGAGCCACTGTTCTTCTTTACGCAGAGGAGCTAGCAAGATGATTACTGGCGGAAGAAGTTTGATTTCTTCACAGCCGGCGTTTTCAAATGATGCAAAGAAGCTTCTCGTATGCACAGGAAACACCGTTTCTATTTTTAGCACCTCCACAGGCTTACAGGTTCAGTTTACGTTTGCGACAAACTCAACAGCTAAAATAAATTCACTGTATAAGTTAATGTAAGTAGTTAATTTTGTAATTCTTACAGATTGCTGAATTGGAAGGTCATAGGGGATTGGTAACATCGGTGGTGGTAGTACCATCTACTACTCCGGCAGGCAAACTATTGTGCTACTGCTGGACTTCATCTGAGGATGGTACTATTAAATATTGGGACTTTTCCGTGCCGGAGCTAATGAGAAGTATTGATGTTAAGTTGCCCATTTACTCAATGGTAAACAGCTTTTTACTTTTAAGAGTGCCTCAACGTGGATTAGGCAGTGCTTTGCACCTTCTGTGACATAAATTCCAGATGTAGTTATACATTGTATATAGCTACCTCAAGCACCTCCACTGTTCCTTGGGTACCTCCTACCAAGGCCTAGACGGTTGGGTAAAAAAGGCATCCTCTTTTGCCTCCGTTTAGTATCTAAATCTGGAATCATTATTATATCAATTCTAAAGTTGAGAATTTTATGTTTTGGACTTCTCAAGAAAATATTGATTTTACTGAAAAATAATAATATAGTAACTGAAATTACAAGGAGAAAACGGACTGTTAAAGGGAATAGGATCTAGCTTCAGGTGATTCAGGTGTTAGTGATGCTCTAATTTGCTAAATAAATGCCATGCCAAAGGCATGGGAATTTCTGAACTATATTTGGGCATGCACACAAGTATTTGGATGGTACAGAATGAGTAGTAGTTAGCTTGAGATCTTTTCCTACTTGAGGAAATGATAGTTGTCTAGATACCAGGAATGTGGGACTAGATTCCCGGAAGAACTCACAAATTGCACTATGCACTAACAAAGTAACAACCCGTCAAGACGGAGCCATTTTCCAGCTTCGCCTCTGCTGTTGTTTTATGTTGTTCACTAAGTACTACTCACGTGTAGCAACATCTCTTTCTCAAACTTTGTGTTTGACATTGCACTTTGCAGCATAACTATCTTATCATGCCTCTTTCCTCTTTATCAGGTAATTCCAGGTTTATCATCAGAACTCAGAGAGAGTAGCGAAAAGCCTTCTGATCTTTTTGCATATGTGTCTGTCATAGTGTTGAAAGAACAGCTGGGAGGGAGCTGTGCTTTATGGTGGCAGATAAGGAAGTGTAACTTAACTAAATGTACTTTGGTTGGTGGAGTGACTCTGGCTGAGGTATGCAAAATTGTCTTCCATGCCTTCTCTTTTTACAGGGAAGAAAAAGTGTCTGTTGATTGTTATTTTTGCAGTAAGTACAACAACTTCTTACCTAGTGTAATATTACACAAGTGGCGTTTGGGGAGGGTGATGTGTACACAACCTTACCCTTACCTTGTAAAGGTAGAGAGGTTGTTTCTGATAGACCCTTGGCTCAAAGAAAGCATATCAAAAGATGGCTCCATGTAAAAAACCGGTTAGGTCTAAAACAGTAGATCATTGTTGAATTGTTTAAATTGTAACCAGTGTTTCATTACTTTAGAGCTTTCAAATTTTGATTGTGCCAAATAGAAAATTTATTGCAAAAGGCATAGGCTTTATTTAAAAACTTTTTTGTTAAATCAGCATGAAGATCCCCCTTTTCCATTTCTTTATCAGATCCATCTGTGAATAAAATTTCATCTATCCTACATAAGAAATATATCACACCAACTAATGTTATCAATTTTGCAAGTGTTTTCCGGGGTAAAAGATATGGTTTCAGGTTGAACTCTCTCTAGCTTGATGAAAAGTTGTCTGAGCTATCTTTTGCTTCTAGATCGTTCACACCGTTAGTCACTATCAGAAAGGTGTTGATGATCTTTCACATCATTGCATTTGCCACTGTCAAATATTTACCTACCTTATTTTGCAAAGTAAATGCACATAATAGCATTTTTGTATGCGATAAAAAATAAGCAAGGATTATAACTTTCTCTCCAGAGTAAAAACGCACTATCTATAACATTAAGCTGCTCTGGAAGATACATGGGCGTCTGTGACAAGCGCAAGCTTCGCATTTGGGAAATACCAACTAAAGATTCTGATCATTCAGTGCTTCAGAACATCAGATTACATCATACGAAAACCCTGAGCACTCTAGCTTTTCATCCAACAGATAGAATAGTTTCAGCTGGAGATGTAACAGGAAGGATCTTAATATGGAGGGGTGTTGGGGAGCATAATTTATCATCTGGAAATAAACAGAGAAGTGGAGGACTAATGGAGGACATGGAGGAGAATCCTGGAGTTAGGGAAAAAGATGATGCTGATATTTGTACCACAAGACATTGGCACTCTGCAGAAGTGAAAGTTCTCTTTTTCTCTTCCGACGGTGCCTATCTTTACTCAGGTACAAAATTAGTATGATCAGCATGGTTGTTTGTATAAAGATGAGTTTGGAACCTTGCAC